ATATATCATTGTCTCCTGTCAATCCTAAATCATCTCTACACAGAACTACAACAGTTTCATTTTCTCTTTTCTCTGAACAACCTTTAGAAGTTGTCCTACAAACAACAATTTAGAAGTTTCTTTCTAAATTATCATCTCTCCATGTCACCCCTAGCTTTATGCTTACTGGTATACCTTAATTTTATCCATAAATCCAGTCTGTTCACTATAACACTTAGGGCCTTGGGCAATTGAAATGTACCTTGTCATCCTTTTTTCCAGCTACATAAAAATGTCTTGGCCCTACAGGCCCTGGTCTTATCACATGTCATTTTCTCCTAGTCCATGCTCACTTGGCCAATCTTGCAAACTTTCATCCAGCCTTACTGTTTCTACCAAAGTGTTACCTTCTCTCAATCCTTTTCTTACCCACTCTCAGCTAAAGGTGTCTTCTTTGTTTCCCACGATGTTCTAAGCAGTCATCTATTGCAATAAGCAACCTGTTCCATTTTACGCATTTGTGCATGTCTTTCCCACCAGACTGAGTCTTCCATCTTAATCCACTTTGAACCTATGACCAAGGGGAATAAAATATAAAAGTACTCAAAATGCCTACTGAATAATTCAGGGAAATGATGAATTCCAGTAGCAGAATTCTCTATTTTTAGCTTTTTATTTGAAGATAATTATAAATTTACATGCAGTTATAAAAAATAATTTGCATAGAAAACTATAAATCATTTATCTGATGTTTCCCAGTGGTAATATCTTCCATTAGTATACTATCACAACCAGTAAGTAAACCTTGACAAATCCTGTGATTTTTACTCAAATTCCACCAGTATTACATGCAAGCCATTTTCAAGGATATGGGTGGGCCTGGAGCCAACCTATCTTTAAATGTTTATTTCGCTTGTGCCCCCTAGGATAACTAAAGTTCTCTACCCAGATCTGTCACTCTTTTGGTCCACTCTGTGTTTGCTTTCAGCAAAGCCCTTTTGGGCATTTTGCCTAAGAATAAAGATCTACACTGATTCCTATTATATTTCATCTTGTTAGTTTGAGCCATTTCTTCAATCTGTTGAAATCTTTCTCAGTCTTCATCCTGTCATCCCGTTTATCACCTATCCCTCCAAGTTTTGTGTTAACTGAAAATCTAAGAAGCATGCCATTGATTCTCATTCAGAGCATCGATAAAACTGTCAGACAGTCTTGATCTTCGCTGAGTAAGACATTGGGCAGATATTTAAATACATGATACATATGAAGATTGTAGCATCCATATAAAACTATGTAGTTATTAAAAATACAAGTTTTTTATGTATTGTGATTATAAATATGTATAACTAGATTTAAAGTTATT